CAAATAAAAAAACAACCAACCAACTAAACAAAAATAACACCACACCAAAAAACATCCACGACATTTTGAGAGACTGGTCAGGGAGTTTATAGTGACTTTCACTGTATGAGACACATCTGTCTGATAAAACACGTTTCAAGCTCCTTTAGAGAATTCCTACATAGTTCTTGCTGCTGAGTCAGGGTTGGAATTATCATGCAATATCCTCTGATACTTCAGTCCAAACTGTTAATTATATAGATAAGAGACATCAACAATTAAACAACTGTAGACCAAAGTGTATTACTACAGGGAAATTATTAAGGTTTCTTTAAAAATAACTGATGAAGCCTAAAATACACATTTTTATACAAAATCTACGAAATTGGGGATATAAAGCCTATAAAACCAAATTTATTCTATCCATTTTACAGTTGACACAATTTTATGTTACTAGAGTCCTTTAAAAAATGTATACAAGCCTATTATAAAAGAACTCAATAAGTGTGTTCCAAACCCGAGGTTTCTATATCACTAATAATACCAGAGACATTTCATAGAATCATGGAAACATGAAAACACAAAACCATAGAATCATGGAATAGTTTGGTTTGAAAGGGACCTTAAAGATCCTTTAGTTCCAACTCCCCTGCCATGACGAGGGACACCTTCCACTACACCAGGTTCTCAGAGCCCCATCCAACCTGGCCTTGAGCAGGCCTCTCTGGGCAACCTGTGCCAATGCCTCACTACCCTCACAGTAAAGAATTTCTGCCAGTATCATGAAATTATAGAATCATAGAACGTCTTGGATTAGAGGGACGTTTAATATCAACTAGTTCCACACTTAATCTAAAAAAAAACCCAAATGACAAAGCAAACAAAACCCAGAAAACAACACAATTGTATCTTTTCCCAAGATCAGACTCCTAATGCCTATTTGGGAAGAGAATACTGCCTAAATCACCGAATACTTTTCCTCATGATTAGGTACAGGCCAATGCAGGGAAGAAGAGGGTAGAGTTAATGGCACACATCCATTTGTACTGGCCATGACAGAGCAGTTGGTCAACAGCAGAAACTGTTGGCAGTTTCCCAGAATTGTAAAGCACGATTTTTCTTTGTATTTTGGTGGTGCACAAGCAAATCAAACTTTTGAAATTCCTTTTTATTTTTTTTTTTGTTCCTAATGAAAACCACAACAGCACAGAGTCTTATCTTGAGTCATCTGATATTATGGTTTCAAACCCACATCAGAAGATACTGATTCCATGGCTTTCAGTTGTTTACATACTGAAATGATTTGACACTATGCTGTCTGGTTTGGTCTGCTTTTTCTTTAAACTTTTGAGTTTAAAGTTTAAAATATATATAGTGATGCTTAGTCTGAAGATATGGACTAGGAATACTTTCCTAGGCTAAGTGAATGTTTGTTCAATAACAGATAAAAAAGAGCAAATTATGTTTCAGTTAGACATTACAGAGTAAATAAGTACTTTTTATCTCCCACTTTTCATCTCCAAGTATACATAAACAACCAAAATCGGAGAAACAAAATATAAGACTTCTTGTAATTATATGGTATTACCTGCATACTGCAAACTGGGAAAATGAGTCAAAAGAGAAAAATGGAAGCATCTGGAAGACCTCTCTGTTTGTTATTACGATGAACTTCAAAGGACTTAACAGCATAAATAAACACTTTAAGTGAATATCACTACCTGTGCTATAAGTGTTGCTGGCATTTCCAGGACACTTAAAAAAATTGATTAGTACTATGCTGGACTGCTGAGTCATCAATGCCCGTCCTTCCACTGGGACAAGAGGATGTCTTGTAAGCAGGTTATTTATATTCTTAATATCTTCAGCAGAAACTACAGTCTGGTTAGGTTTGGTAGCCATTAAATGGCACTTTTGTATGTGCTGCCCTCATCTACAGATTTCTTATCAGCAGTCTTAAGTAAGAGCAATGACAAATAGGCCAACCTCTTTTAGTCTGAAAAAAGAAAGAAAATAACAAATCGCGCAGAGTGCAAAGGTTTACTTTGGCTGAAAGTAAGTCCAAGCCTCCATATTAAAGCTCCATGTATGCAGTCTCACTAGTTTATCCTGCTTGGAAATAACAGAAAAATAGAATCCAAAGGATTGTTTTCTTTTTTAATAAAAAGTGTAGGTGGTCTTGGACTTGCCAAGATATAATGTTTTTTAAAAAGCTGAACAGGCCTTGCTTCCTCTTCAGTATCTCTTTTAATTTCACAACATAATAATCATGATCATCAACCCAGAATATATTATTAAATTACTTTTTATCCTTTCTATGTGCTTTGAGAAAGACTATTGGAACATATTTATCCCCAGTGTATTGTGTGCTCCTAGATCCTATTCTGTATTGTCATGTCTGCAAATATTTACAAAGCAAAAAATACCATCTCACTCAGTGATGCAACTGACATGCCTTTAATGCTATTCCATATCATTGCTTCAGACCAAAACAACGCAAAAACACCACTTCAAATTATGAAAGACAGAAATACTTTTAGTGGCCTACAGCCAACCATGGTCTAAACACGGCTTGTGAGCTCATCACATGAATGCAACATTTGGAATACCACTCATAACCTTTGGCTGCACAAATACAGACCTTTAGTCAAGAAACTCAAGCAACAGTTTTGTTCATTTAAGTAAAATCAGGGGGATAAGCAGTTGATCTGCTTTGGATGTTGTAACCTGATGCCCAGCTCCACTGGCCACACCAGAACACAAAGTCTTCACAGAGAAAAATCAAGCAGATTCTCAAGCACAGAGAGAGAGCAAGGCATGATAGGGGCTGTTTGTGGTCTGACTAAAAGTCTGTTACCCTCCTCAGTAAATGGTTATCCAGTAAAAAGTTGCAGAGGTGTCTGACTTCAGCATGGGCATGTTTCACTACCTCTGTAGGCTGTAGGACTCACTAGCACGTGACTCAGAAAAGATGAAAGGCAGTACATAATTACATATAGATCTGCCAGCAGCCCCAGTATTAGTCTACCTGGTACACATGAAGTTCACCTACTACAAGTTGTCTCAGATAATTTTAAAGGTGTAAAGCCTAATCATAACATTAAATGATCACAACTAGGAAGAGAGCAACTAACTAATCATTTCAGAAGCTTGTTCTCTTCATCACTCCAAGAAGCAACTTCACCACAGGAAGTCCTCTGCAGAGTAAAACATCTGTCACACTGCCATTAAGATGAAAACTTTATTTATATTAGGGGTTAATGATTTCTTCATTGACTGCACAGAGGAGATCAGAGTAAAACACATTTTGATGTTTTAGGTAAATCACTGCAGTTTTCTATAAAGAAGCTTGTTTGAAGTCTGACTTGAATGGAAACTTGTTCAGTTTAGTTCAGAGATGGTCCCAGTTCTTCTACAAAGTTTAAGATGGTAGGCTTACAAGTCATGAAGCTTGATAAGGTACATAATAGTTTTAAAGGATGAAACAGAAATAACAGATATATGCTTTTATTACTTTTTAAATGAGATTTAACTGGACTTCTGTAACAGAATGAACTGCAATTCTGTCTTGTTTCTTGACTCAATATCTCAATTCTAAGAAAAAAACCTGTCCACCTTTACTATGCCTTCTTTCAGTGGTTAGAAAGGCATACAAAAGATTATTAGGTTCAATATGGCTCCAAAGTTGAAACAAAGACATAATCCTAAATCAACTGTATACCCATTACATGCATTGTATACATGCCGGAAAATAAACACTGGTAAATACAGAGTACAGTCTTGGAAATGTCAAGAGACTGGGTTTTTGAAAAGGGTTTATAAAAAAATATAAATTCTGTCAACTGAAAGATGTTAACTTGAAGACTGAACTTAACTCTGTTCATTTTCAGGGACAAAATCTCGCATTTCACTGTGTAAGAAGGTACACAGCAATGTGCAAAAGCAGGTCCACGTGAGGCTGGAACACAACAGGCTGCTTCCCAGTGAGAGGCTCATCACTCTTCCCAAAGTGAAAGGTGTGGATTCCAGAGCTGATTCCCAGCAGCGCTATTTTTATGCAGCTTCCCCATTCATTCACCATGGGGCCACAGCACGCGGCGACGCTGCCCTTTCACTGGAGGCACCTGAGTCCCACTCAGCCGTGCTGCGGACGCTCGGCAGCATCTCGGCTGTCCAGGGCATCCTCCGCTGGCAGCGGCGGGAACACCACCAGAGTTGAGATATGCCAGTTGACACCACCCTTCCTACCGAACGGGCAGTATCCGAGAGCCCGCGGCCGCCCTGCAGGGTGCTCACCATCCCTGGGCATCACAAGGGACGAGGCCAGTCCCGGCGAGGCATTGCTTGCCCAGCAGACCCAGGGGAACCCCGACCCCTGGGTCCCTCCAGTCGAGGTAGTCTCCCACCTGGAGGGCGGTACCTCGACAGCCCTTACAGGAGCCAAACGCGGCGACGGCTGCGGGGGGGGGGGGGGGGGGGGGGGGGGGGGGGCTGGGAGAGGAGCCCCGCTTTCCACAAGAAGCCCTGAGGCGACGGCTTCGCTCACCACCTACAGCCCCGCCACAAACCCGCCGCTTGCCCGGCATTTCCCCCGCCGTCGGCACATCACAGTCACACGGGGGACACGGGCCCGATGGTTGTCAGGAGCGGGGTGCCGGCCGCAGCCCGGAGGGGACGCTGACGGCACCGCCGACTCCCGGGAGACCTCCTCGAAGTTGCCCTGAGAAGTCTGGGACCGCCCGGAGGTTCAGTCCCCGGGCAGAGCCGCCCTCTCAGTCCACACGTCCCTCCTGCCACCTGGCCACACGCTCCCGGACCAGTCTCCAGGGACCAGACTTCAGGGACTGACCCCCATTCCCATGGCTGACCCCTCGGGGACGGGACTTCCACCCAGACAGACCCCCGTCCTCCCCTGGGGATGCGGTCCCCGTTCCCGGGACAGAACAGCAGCCTAGGGGTTCGCTCAGGGCTCCCCCCAAAAATGCAGCCCTTGGGAACAAATAAAGCACCAAGACACTTACCATCTCGCCTGATGTTGGAGGCCCGCAGGGCTTTTATAGATCCGCTCTGGGCAGGGGCGGTGGTGCCCTGACGGCTGCAAAAGTTCGCACGGACGACGGCGTAGAGCAGGAGGAGGATGAGCAGTTGCATTGGGACCAGCTGCGAGCGGGACCGTGTCTCTGCGAAGAAACGGGCTCTCCCGCCGAGGGTTCTTCCCTCGCTCGTGTTTTCTCCCTCTTGCCGGACTTTTTGGTTGTTGCGGGCTGCTTGTGTGTTTGGGGGAGTTGTATGCGGGGAGCGAGGGGGGGTGGGGGGTGGAGGGGCGGAGGGGGAATGGCACAATCCCCGCAAAAAAAAAAAAGCAAAACCCCACAGCACGGGAAGCAGCAATCACCGCCGACGCGCTACTCTCCGAGCTGCCTCCAAACTTCCTGCATGCTGAACTTTTGGCTGCCCTTCTGGGCCGGCCAAACTCGGCGGAGGTGCGGAGAGGTCGGGCCGGGTCCGCCGCCCCCTCCCCTCGGCCCGCACGGCCGTGCCCCAGTGTCAGGCGGGAGCTGCCGCTGCCGGGCTGCGCCCGCCGCCTCGCACCGCCCAGCCCTGCTCCGCCCGGCAGGAGCCGCCGCCGGGGTCTGGAGCGGCGGGAGCCCCGCGCTCTGCGCCGGGGGCCGGGTGGGGGGGGGGAGGTGGCCCTGGGGAAGGGGGCGGGAGCGGTGCCCAAGCCCTCCCTGAGCTACTGGCCACGCCGTCTCCACTCCGGCCGAAGAGTGGCAGGAGGGGTGGTGCGAACGCCGGGTTCCCGGCGGGTGGCTGCGGTGGGAGCCGCGTGCCAGGGGCTCCCCGACAGCAAAGAGGCCGCGCACCCGAGGGTCCCGTCACGCTCGGGATCGCGGTGGCCACGTAAAAGTCATCTCTGGGCTGAATGACTCAAACCACCGAACTGCACCAGGGCGGGTGAGGAGACTTAGTGGGAAAATTGGATAACCCGCAGTTGTCCCTGGGAGAAATACATGGGCTCTTGTGTCATGCCAAGTACTGTCAAAAATCTTTCATAAAAAGGTATTTCCTACTAATTTAGACTCTCATTCAATTAGGTCTGGTATTAAAAGATTGTATTACTGCCTGGAAGACTTTGGGTCTAAACCAAAGGTATGTGAGGGTTGTGATCAGATTGCTAGTTTAATACTCTCTTTCCTTCCATTAGCTGCAATGAAAATAATCAAAAGGAAGGTGCAGAAAAAAAATCACTCAGGTTTTTTAACAGTTCTCTGATTAATCCTTCCCTACTCACTTTATTTCTTAAGTCATTTCATATAGTCTCAGCCAGTCTAGCAAACTGTAACATGCTGCCAGACCTTTAACAACATTAAACATACCTAATTAGCAGAAGAGGAATGTCAATATGGTGCTGTACCAGGAGTCTTGGATGAGTCTTGCTACACTCCGAGAACTGCCTCTGGCTGTGTGAAGCATTTTCTCTGAGTATGTTAGGATGACAATGGGACTGAAACATCTTGTATGTCTTAAGAAACCAGTAGGGTGCAGTTCTGTTATGCATAATTCATGCTTCTTTATCCCTTTCATGTTCCCCAAAACTGACAGCGAACCTAATCCTGCTCCCATGTGGTAGATAATGGAAAGGCTCCAACAGTCCTTCATTTGTGAGCAGATGTGTCTACATTTTGGGTGCCCATTTCAGGGGGGGAACTGGGCGAACAGAGGGAAGGTGGTCGATTCAATCATCGTAATAGAAACAGAAAGTCAAATAGAGGACGTAGAGCAAATGAGCATGGGGGAGCTCCAGAGATGCCTTTTGTTCATCCAGTCAGTAAGTCTGCCTCTTTCCAGTTGCCTTACAAGGAACTGGCAGAAAATTCCAATAGAATCCCATCTCCTTAGTTCTATTCTGAGTTCAAGTACCTTTTAACATAAAAGAAGGTGGTCAATATCCTGACCTTTACTACAACCTCGTGGTGAAGTTGTGCTTTACTTAGTGTCCTCAGGCCCTCCTTCTCTCTTAGACTTGAGGATGCTAGAATCCATAACTGGTTGTCTTTGGGTGAGTAGCCATTTTAAGGTGGAAGAGGAAGAGAAAGAAGGACAGATTACCTTCCACCAAAGTCAGACAAAAGGTGTTTTGACATTATCTGAGCAGTTGCATAATTCAGTCAAGAAAGGGCACTGTTTCCAAGGCTGTTTCTCTTTCTGGACCCAGGTTCATCTATATAAATTTTCTTATATAATATGTCTTCCTAAGAGCTTGTCTGGAACTAAAGTCTGTCTGGCCCTATGCCTTCCTGGCTGCACAAGTCCAGCTTTGACATGAGTGGAACAGGCTTTTGCCTTAAATATTCCACAGCTGTTTGGCTGCTGTGCTCCCTGGCTTAAAAAAGACTAGAAGTTTAAACTTCCTCAAGCTGACCAGGGCACAGAACTGAGGTTTCCTCAGCATTATTTTTTTTTTTTTTTTAAGAGTACATAGTGTTGTGGTGCGTAAGATGAAATTCGTGTTTCTGCAACAGAGGTACTTTTTGCTTAGAGAATTCTCAAGCAAAACAGCATGAGGCCTCATAAACTAGACAGTGATGAAAACAGGCAAGTGGATTCTACCACCAATGGCTTTGATATATATCAAGAGGAACTGTGTATAACTCCTACCATATGCTCATGGAACATTTCTGTTCTTCCCTGTGCAAAGCATGGGATGGTGCCATTCTTTGTTCTAAAGCAAAATATATTTTTGTAGCAGAAGAGACAAGTATTTTTTTCAGGTCAGAAAAACAGCCATGGAATATTACTGTGGGGTCCAAAATAGAGGCCTAGCCCTATGACCTACAGATATTTATTTTGTACCCAGTATCAAAAAATCCCAGATTTTTCAATTTGATGTAGAGGTGTAGAGAAAGATTTTGGGACAGAGCAGTAAGGCTGACGTGCGGTGATAAACCTTTGTTGAAAAGGTCTACACTTAAATCACTGTTGCTACAGCTTCTCAACTCACTTTAAAAATCACTAAACCCAATAAAAATTGAAAGAGCATCTTTATAATAAAGTGTCACAAAACCCCCTATCAAAGGGTGAGAAATTTGGATTATGCTCAGACATTTTTATAAGCATATGACTGGTTCTTTACTTTCTGGCAAACATTCTAGCACATTGGCTAATCTGTATTCTAAGGGTTTGGGATAATTTAAAGCATTGGATGATTTCTGTAGGAAGACCTATAGCAAATCATGGTTACTGCACTAAAGGACATACTGATGTATGAGTGTGATAACAGAGGTAATTACAAATTTGTCAACCGAACTGGGATCCTGATAAAAAAACCCTTAACAGTTGATATGAAACTCAATTAATAAAAATTAAAAGGAAAATAATATAATTATTAATCAACCTGGAAAATCTTATCATACTGACTTGGAAATCTGGTTTACAAACAGAATAGCATAAAATTATGACTTTCATAAGGTACCACTTGGTACACAACTTGAATCATATGGAATGAAAGTCATGCATACTAAATGTTTTCAAAGCTTGTTAAATGACAGGTTTAAAAAAGTTTACATTAAAGGGAAACATTATTAAATGGATTCTTTTTAAGAGACCACCACTTAGGCTAATTTTTTACTTCTTCATTGATTTGCATTTTCAACAATGACCTGGGAAAAATGCAGCCATTACTCATGACTTTTGAAGATGACAAAAACCTTGGAGAAGTAATAAGATGATTTATAGAAATGGTGTTATGTGGAGACAGACATGTAGATACTGGGTATAACTGTAAATCTAAGTCCTTATGCAGCTCATGCTTTAAAATAGCCAATGACAGCACTGCCCAGTGCCTGTGGCATCCACCCGACCTCATTTTAATCCTCTGAAAGTGTCTGGTGTAAACCTGTCAGGCAGGTTCTCATTGTTCATGGAGAGAATTGGATACCCATCAGAGGGCACTCTAGCCCAGCGGTTTTAGGCAGTTATGCTGTGGTGGTCTGGAAAGTCCAGTTTCTCGCCACTGACTATGGAGAGAGCATAGAGACCAAATACGTTCACAGTTAATGGTACAGTAGTTAATCCTAGAAAGCACTGATGCAGGAAAAAATTACAGGGGTGGATTATTGAGGAAGTCAATGGGCTGTAACCTTCCCTGTTATCAGTTGTTGGCTGGCAGACGCTCCAGTGTCATACAATTTGTCCATGGAGAACAGATGTATTCTGTGTCCACCCCTTAGAACATCTGAGTTATGGTGATTAAGTAGCAAACTCCAAATTCCCTGTGCATTATCTCTGGGATTCTTGGATATTTATTTAAGAAAGGGAATATTAATTAGAGGCATTATGCTCTCTTCTGTTATTATTAGACTGCTGCATCAAGTTCCCGTGAATAAAGTCTTAGAAAGGACCATAATAGAGTGAAAAACACTGAGAGGAAAACCACAGAATTGGTTAGAGGTTGAGAAACATGCCATTTAGGAAAAAGCTTAAAAATCACAAGCCATTTAGTTTATCTAGGAGAAAATCAGAGGGGTCACAGCTACCTCCCAGAGGTAGGATATTGATTCTAGAAGAGTACTCCGTCTAGTGGACAATGACATATCAAAGTGAAAGCTGGAGAGAGATAAACTAAGGTTAGAAGTAAAAGGCATACTTTTCAGTGTGGAAAGCTATGGAAATATCAAAGTTGTATACTCTTCACCACTAAAAATGTGAAAGACAAGATTTGATGTTTTTCTAAAACCAGTCAAGTGGTTTCAAACTGTGCTTAGGAACCCATGGGATCAGTGAGAAAACAGAGAAAAGCGTGTTTATATGTTACATACTACAAGCCACAGGTGAATTCTAAGTAGTTCTGCAGATCATTGGAAGATGACAACTAAAAAAACATACCTCCAGGGATTAATTCTGGGAAGTACTGTGATTTCTGTTATATAGGAGGGCAGTCAAGTGAGGGCAGCAGTGCTTGGCCTTGTGTTTGATAGGACTGATCACCATCACCTATCTTTATGTAAATTTTGGCTAGTTCACCACTGCAAATGTCAAGAGACAAATATTGCACCTACATGCGTATCTCCCTCAGGGAGGGAGAGAAAAATGATATCCCAAGCTGAACATGTTGATACATTAAATTTTGAGAAACTACTATATCACTCAGACTGTCCCACTGGTACCTAGTAACCGTACCAATTGACACATAGTTGTGCTTGCAGTATTCAGAGTCATGCTTTCAAAAAATGAACATAAGCCACAATGATATAAGAAATGTTGTCCTCCTGAGGTTAAGTAGGATTTTTAGCCCCTATTTATATCAGTACAACTATCATTTAGATTTCAGGTTTAAAAAGAATGGGCTAGGTTTTCTCATAGGTTTTCTTAGTAAGAAAGAAATACCTTCAAAAAGACTGCATTTCTTCTGTAGCCCAGTTCCCAGGTTCATAGATTTAAAAAGACCTTTCTGACTTCTTTCATAAATAAGCCAAACCATTTTGCTGTCCTACCTCCCGCTTTGTTTA